CCTTCTCCAGGCTGTTTCAGAACTGGTCTCCTGTGGAATGGGGAAAAAAACCTAAAACACTGTAGAAGATACCTCTACCAATGGGTTTTCTGTGTCTCCTTGCCAGCCAAATCACTCTGAAACTCCTGCATCTGAGGATGACAAAGCTGGTGCAGCATTACTTTTCTCTGGAATCTTTTTGGGGGTTATAGGAATCACCTTCACTGTGATTGGATGGGTGAAATATGAAAATGTTCATTTCACAAAATCCAAGTGCTATTCCTATTACTAGATCAGATTTCTCAAATGTTATTGAATAGAAACATTCACGTGTGTTTATTAACATGTGAGAATATTTATGAGCAACTTTTGTGCATTTTTTTAAAAAAATGAATGTAAAATCCAGTCCACAATAATGAAGCCACCTACATTTGTCAATATTCCTGGTGTTTCTGTCAACCTGGTGCCCATTTTATTTAGTGAGGAGGATGAAGTTTTAACACACACACCCAGAGGAGGCTTTAGGTATATTAGATGACCTCATGGATGTATTATATATCTCTTTGTTTTTAATATGCCACCTTTTTCCTTAAAGTCTGGAGAAGTTGTAGCCATTTGCTTGCCTCACTTCAGAAAAACAGCTGGCTGTTTCCCTGCTTTCCGAATCTCCCTGTGTTGAACCATAGGCATGAGATTCACCCTCCATTCATACTGAGATGGAGACGGAGGAGTTGCCTTGGCAGGGATAGAGGATAAACCTGGTGAAACAAAAAATGCCTTTGATCCTAAAGCCAATCTCTTCCCTTTTGTGGGAGGAGGAAAGTCAGTACTAAGCACAAATTTTGGCTGCCAACTAAGGCCAATCAGAATTAATACGTCCCTACTTCTCTTGGTGTATATAATTTTGTTTTCCTTCTCTCTTTCTCTATCCTCAGCCTCACCTGGCAGTTGGAAGCAACGATTACTACATCTCTGTGTACTCAGTAGAGAAACGAATCAGATAACAGCGTGGGACTGCTTTGTCAGGGCTGGACGTCTTCTGGCAGGCAAAACATGCCTCACTTACGATGTACATAGTGAAAATATGACTTGAATGTTAGTGTTGGCTGCTGCTGCTGCTGCTGCTTCTGGCAGGCAAAACATGCCTCACTTACGATGTACATAGTGAAAATATGACTTGAATGTTAGTGTTGGCTGCTGCTGCTGCTGCTGCTGTGCAACCCCGTGACTTGAACATTTTTTTTTTCTTCCTGACTTAGCTACTGATGATTCTGCATCAGAGGGGAGGGAGAGAAGTGTGGTCTTCTTCATAGCTGGGACTTCCAGGAACTATTGGAAAAGGAGAATTTAAATTTTCAGCGAGTCCCACCACCCACCACCACTACCACTACTAATGACTGCTTCTCTGGTTGTTTAAACGTCTTCTCGGAAGAGGGATGGGGTTTTCCCCTAAACCAGGAACGAATTCAGAACAGGCTCTACCGTTCCACATGTTCTTCCTAGAAAGTCTATGGCTGCTCCCGGTTTTGTGCCAAGTGCTGCCCTGGCAGTTGCATGCTAGCAGGTTGCCTGATTTGGATAGTCCATGCATATCTTTCCACTCTGTATGCCACCGGCCACCTCTGTCATTCATTGTCCTGCCAGAAACAAGAGGAAAAACAAAAATTAAGGAGACTCTTAAGGGAGAGAAAGAGAGAGAGAGAACGTTAATGGCTGCCACTGTGGAAGGGAAAACAGGAAAGTACCCCGGTTTCTGTGGTGTTCGTTGGAAAACAGCCGTAGCTACATGAAAAAGCATTACAGGGCAAGAGACCTTCCCCCTTTTACGCCCTCCATCCTTAAGCAGTGACCCTCTGCTCCTTTTACTCATAGTAGAGTCCCTTAAGCACAAGAAATGGCCTGCTACCTCCGCATAGACAATAAATATTTCACTTATTGTACCACTGCCTTAAATCCGCCCTCCCTCCCCAATTCTGTTTGACAGAAGTGCTATTGATCAGCTTATTAACGGTTGCAGGTACTTGCAGCAGGCTTAAGGCCAATGCCCACGTAGAAGTCCTTCCTCTGCTTCAGACACTTGCACAGTGGCAAGCTCTGTACATGCCCAGGACTTTTATATTCGCAGGGGGCACGTGATCACTGCAAAGAACGGTTGATTTTCCCCTACTACAGAGACCACGATCTGGCCCAACCCAAGAAAAATAATCTCATGTAGGAAACTGCCTCGATAGCTTAAGATCAGAAGGCCTTCCTTGAATTGTGTGAATTGTGCCTGAATTGTGTTAATTCTTCTGGCATTGGCTCCAAGGGCAGATGTCCACAAAGCTGTGGAGAAGCATGAAAGTGAAGCCTTGCAACCATGAAGAGCAGGGAGCCATCCTCTTCATCTTCTCTATGATGGACCTGAGCATTGTCTTGCTTGCAAAATCCACCTCCCGGTTCTCATTATGAAGCCTGCTTTGTGCGTAGTTTGCTAGCTGAGAACCATTGCCCAAGCTGCGAAATTAGTGATGAAAATAAATAAATAAGTGGTGATTTTATACCCCAGTTTGCTGATTCGAGTGTCAGCTCTGCTGGAACATTTAATCTTTGGTCCCACCCTCCCCCAATTGCCATGCCTGTCCCTCCCCAAGTGGCATTTAACTCAGGGAAGGTTAAATAGTTGATTGTGCTCCTAAGCATCAAGCCAGAGTCTGGAATCCATTTATAACTGACTTAATCTACACAATTAAATAAGGAGATGATTATTATTTTTTGTAACCTATATCCGATGTGTTTATTTCAAGAACAAGATTCCTTGTGCTTCCTCTCAGCTTGCATAGCCAGAAGTAAGGCTATGGTAGACTTTCTTTCAAATGCCATCGCGTTTGAAAGGAAGAGCTGTGCTTTTTTTTTTTTTTTCTTTTTGCAAAGATCTGAGATGGTGATCTAATCATGAAGTTTAACCGAAACTCCAGAAAGCATCCAGCTCACAAAGTTCACTTCTCTATTTATTTTCAGGAAAATGAAAAGGAATAATAAACCACCAGACGATTGTAATGTAAGAGTAAAACAATTAATGAAATAAATGTTAATAAAATGTAAATGCCAGAAGAAGCCCTTGGTCGTTAGCAATGGTGAAATCTAAAAAAATTTCCTACCGGTTCTGTGAGTGTGGCTTGGTGGAGGGTGTGTGTGTCATGTGACTAGGTAGGTGTGGCTATATAGTCATGTGACAGGGTCAAAATACAGAAACTCATTTTAACCATGTCCTGCTGGAGCAGGGGGTTGAACTAGATGACCTCCACATCTCTTCAAGCCCTGGATTGCTGTGCTCTTTCAAGATATCCTTTGAAGCTGCGTCTAGTGCCAGGTTTGTGCTCCTTACTCCGTCTCTTTTTTCCCTCCCTCTCTTCTTTCTTTCTCAGCACCACCCACCCACCCCCCCCCACCCCCGTTTTTGGCCTAGCAGGCTTCAAGGAAGCCTCAGAGCAAAAACAGACCCCAAATGCTAAAAAAAAAAGTTTAAAAAAAGTTCCTACCATGGCGCAGCACAGCTGATTGTCAGAACTTTTTTTTACTTCGATAAGCATTTTTTTACTATTGGTTCAGGCGAACCAGCCTGAACCGTTAGGATTTCACCCCTGGTCATTAGAGTTTACTGTTGTTTTGATGCCATGAAAGAAACCTGGGGAATGGATGGGGAGGGAGAGGAGGAGACAGTTTCAAGATGGCAGCTCTCCTTTCTTGGGCAGAAGAAGAGAAGGTAAGCACTGCTGCTTAGATACTCTGCCTCGGCTGCCTTAACATTTCTGCAAGAGCTACGGCTATTCTTCGATTTTCAAAGTCAGTGGGCTGACATGGTGTATGTGTGTATCAGCCTGGAAAATCGCCTGGTTTCTGTTTGCCTGTGATCTACAACTCACTCCAGAGAAGAAACGGCAAACAGAAAAAGAAATGAGTATATGTGAAGCCAATAACTCCCAATCTCTGCCTGCCTTGACATATGTGGTGCTTGCGACAATATATCAACCTTTCAGATGTGGTGAAAACTAAAATTGGGTTTTGGGCAAGTGTGATATTCAGAAGAAATAAGACTTACCATTTAGTTTTTGTTGCTTCTGGAAATGACAAAATTGAGTTTCTTACCTTTTCCATAGTTAAAGTATAAACATTGCCCCAAATCAAAGCATGTCAATTTGGAAAAAAAATCTAACCTAGGTGAATCTCAGATGACAGCGCCACCAACTAGATATGCTTCTTGGTCTTATACACAGTCCTCCAGATGACAGAAGGTTTCCTCTTTTTTACATATTTTTTGTAATATATTGCATTTAGTAATGTGTTGGCTCTAAATATGACTTGCATTCTGCCCTCTCCATCTTCACAAAAAGATGTAACATCAATACCGGGGAATATCCTGGAAAAGGTAATCAAGAAACAGATCTGTGAACAACTAGAAGCAAATAAAGTTATATCTAGTAGCCAGCACGAGTTTGTTAAAAACAGATCATGCCAAACTAATCTTATTTTATTCTTTGATAAAGTGACTAAGTTAGTAGGCCAGCAAAATGCTGTGGACATAGTATACTTAGATTTCAGTAAGACGTTTAACGAAGTAGACCACAACCTCTTCTTGATAAGTTAAAAAAATGTGAAATAGACAACATCACCACCAGATCAATTTGTAGCTGGCTGACAAACCGCACTCAGTGAGTAGTCCTTAATGGTACTACATCCAGAGATAAGTAAGCAGTGGGGTACCACAAGACTCCCCCCAGTACTCTTCAATATCTTCATAAATGACTTAGATGAGGGAATAGAAGGGGAACTCATCAAATTTGCAGATGACACTAAACTGGCAGGAATAGCCAACACCCCAGAAGACAAGGTCAGGATCCAAAAAGATATTGACAAACGTGAACAATGGGCCCCATCCAACAAAACAAATTTTAATGTAGAGAAAAGCAAAGTTTTACATTTAGGCAGAAAAAATCAAAGGTATAAGTGCAAATTAAGAGACCTGGCTCAGAAACAGCAACTCTGAGAGTGACCTTGGAGTCCTAGTGGATGATCACTTGAATATGAGCCAGCAGTGTGCAGCAGTAGCCAAAAAAGCTAATACAATCCTGGGTTGCATAAAGAGGCATAGAATCAAGATCACGTGAAATATTAGTACCACTTTGTAAAACCCTAGTAAGACCCCACCTGGAATACTGCAATCAATTTTGGTCACCAGACTACAAAAAAAAATGTTGAGACTTTGGAAAAAGTTCAGAGAAGAGCAACTAAGATGATCAAAGGCCTGGAGGCTAAAATATGAAGAACGGCTGCAGGATCAGTGTTTGGCTAGTCTAAAGAAAATAATTAAGGGTGACATGATAGCAGTATTCCAATATTTGAGGGGCTGTCACAAAGAAGAAGGGGTCAAATTATTCTCCAAAGCACCAGAGGGCAGGAGAGAAGCAACCTGGAATTAAGGAGAAACTTCATAACAGTGAATACAATTAACCAGTGGAGCAGCTTGCCTTCAGAAATCGTGGGCGCTCCATCACTGGAGATTTTAAAGAAGAGACTAGACAGTCACCTATCTGAAATGGTATAGGTAAGTGATGGCAAACCTTTTCGGCACCAAGTGCCCAAACTGGAATGCGTGCGCCAGAGCACTGGAAATCCAAAGACCAGCTGGCCAGTGCACATGCATGTGTTGGCCAGCTACTCTTCTGGTTTCCCGTGCCTGTATGCACACTGGCCAGCTGATCTTTGGGGTTTTGGCACTCCGGCGCATACGAAGACCAGCTAGTCGGCACACCTACATGCACCGGAAACCAGAAGAGCAGCTGGCAACATCGCACATGTCCACAGAGAGTGCTCTGCGTGCCACTTCTGGCATGCATGCCATAGGTTCACCATCACGAGTACAGGTTCTCCTACTTGAGCAGGGGGCTGGTCTAGAAGACCTCCAAGGTCCCTTCCCTTCTACTCTAAGCTACTCTATTCTAAGCTATGGGTGCAATCAAACCTCTGATCACGTTTTGTGATGAATATAAACTAGTATTTGTAATGCAAATTAAAAGTGTGATGCAGGTAGTCTTGTGTCACATTCAAAAACTTGGAGAGACTGTAGTTTAAGCACTAT